CTATTAACAGTATCTCTCAAAAAAGTATGACATCTTCAGGTCTGTGTTGTGGGAACAATACTTTCTGCCACATTAAACAAACTAATTAAAGAGATTTCAGCATAAACCTCGAAACTGATGCTTTAGAACGAAAGGTATGAATTCTTGATCTTTAATCATATCTGCAAGTCCTTTTTCCATGCAGATACAGAGAAAAGAAAGACCACTGTTAGAAAATACTTTCAAAAGTATTCTAGATACCTAACCTTTTTTCTGCTTTGTGATACTGCTCTGGCCAGTCTCACTGGAGGACAAAAAGAAAGAATGAACTTCTGAGGAATGCTATTCTTTATGGAGTGGAGGAAGAAATGTTACTTTCTCAAATCTCACATTTTATCTAGAAGCAACAGAATAGAATAATGAATTGTGAAAGTATGAATTAAGTTCCACATTGTTGCTATACAAATTCTCTTTATAGGCAAATGATGAACTGAACCTACAGACCATCCATGTGAGTCGTGAGTCATGTCCGATCTGTGGGGGAAAGAACTGTAGGCTGAGGGACCATCATAAGGTGCTCTATGTCATTCTGGCCTTGTTGTAGCTGTGCTATAGAGTATCTGGTCATTATAGTCAATTAGGTAGCTTCCAAACTGAAATGATCCATTTATTTCATAAGATGTTATAAATAACCTTCGATTTTTTTTCAAAGGATTGTAACTACCAATGCAAAAAATGCAACATGCATAATTTAGGATCACTTGATAAATCGATTGTTGGGGAAAAAGTACTTTCAAAATCAGGCAGGGAATGGGGGTGGGGGTGGAGTGTAGGCACAGAGGACCCCAAAGCAGTTAGCCAAAATCACTGCAAGCCTGTATCTTTTAGGGGATGGATACCTTAAGTTCAGGTGTCTGACTGTTAGAAGATCACTCCTTACTGATTGGTTTGTAAAGGCAGAGACCTTGGACTCCAGCATTCACAGGATGAAAAAAGAATTAAGATCTCTATCATATGAAGTGAATCAAGAACTGTGGAGAGACCTGGAAAAAAGCAAAGGCATTCTGAGGGGAAAAAAAAAAAAAAATACCAGGAAATCATTGTATTTTGTTGTAGAAAGATCTAGTCTTGCAATCTGTCCAGACATCTCTTTGTCCAAGATACCAGGTCTTGATCAGCTGAAATAAAAGTTATTTTAAAATTACCACTAGCACGGGCAGTATTCATGTGCTTCAGTTCAGTAGCAACCTTTTAAACAGTCAGAAGATCCAAAAATTTTGTTTATGCGAGGCACTGGCTGTCATTTCCATTCTTAGTTGGAATGGACAAAGCCTGTCGGGACTCCTGGGCTGTGACTGGTCTTCTCTGTATCTAAGTTCTTGAGAGAAGTGTGGATAAGGCCCAGGAAACTCAAAATCTCTTAAAACGGGTTTTTGTTCTAAATACTCACTTGTGGCACTCTAGATCAAATGCTGTCACCTCTAAGTGTGTTGTTCTTAGATCTTCTCTTTGCTTAAACATTCGTAGGCCACGTCTAGACTAGCTGCACTGAACCAGATCCATTTGAATCATAACATCTCCTGTGACTTTGCCTCAGATGCTTCATATCGGTTCATCTTTCCCTCAGATGTGATAATTTTACCTGTTTTACAGAAATATTGAAAATGGATTTACTGATAACTGTGAATTGACTCAAATATGTTGCTTAAACTGCAAGAGCATTTAAATTTCTTTTACAAATAATTTGCACAAATGAAATACCTATAAAATGCTTAACCATATCTCTGGATGGTGCTGGCACTTTCTTGCTTGGAAAAAGTAAGGAGAATACTGGTGGGATAGCCATTTTTAAAAACTGGTATTTCAGGGGCTATTTTAATGATCAGAGAATGGTGACTCTGCACAGGAGTGGCCATCTTTGGTGACAAACCTTTATGCAACTGGAGATTCTGATCTAACATTTATATAGTTGCACCACTAACGGGAATTCTCCTTAAATACAATTTTCAGGTTCTTAGAAGCCACAGAGACAAGGTCTTGTAAACCATAATAAAATGTAAGCACAGGTTGAAAAACATTCAGAATGGTTTCAGAACTGTAAGGTTAAAATAGATGCCAATAGAGACAGGAAAGCTATAGGCAAACGGGATGGAAAAAGTATCAAGAGACATCATGTTTTCCACAGATTTATGGAAAAATAAGCTTATTGCATGTTGATGCTGATTGATACTTTATGTTGTAGTTCATGAAAACGGCAGAAAATGGAGAGCATCTAACAGAAGAGCAGGGGTAGGAAAGCAGAGAAGGACCCTGCCTCTGTGTGTGTCTCTTACCTTACTAAGCTTTCTTCTGTACCCAAGGCACTAAGATGAGTTTTGGATAGCAGTATGGGAGCCTTTCTCTACTGCTTACAGCTTGTAAGCTGCTGGTATTTTGTAACAGGATGAGAGTTAACATAGCAAAAGGGAGAAAGGAAACATCAAAGTGGGTACTAAAGGATTAAAAATAATAGTAAGTAAAGGGAGAGAGAAAAGGGGGAAAGAATTGAGAAATTAAAATTGAGAAGAACATTAGTCATCTGTGTCAGAATATGGAGGAAGAAACACAGGGAATAAATGTTCAAATACTGATCCATCCCTACTGAGAAAAAAGATGATTGTCTATGGATATAGAAACTTCAATATCAAACACTGATGTCAGAACTGGGGAGGACGGCTTTGGGATGTATAAGTTACTGTACTTTTGCTAACAGTTGACTGTTACCTAAAACTACTGAAAAGCAGAAATTAGAGAGTAGAGGATTTAATTATTCACTCGGGTAAAATTGTATTTATGCTAGAATGCTGATATTTAATGTACGAAATCCTACCTAATCCAATAGCTAAAACATTAATTTGACGCAAAGGAATCAATAAAGCAAGCTGTCAGCTGCTGAAAAAGGTTATTTTAATAGATTTATTATGTCATATCTTTATTACACTTTCAAAACTGAGGTGGAGATTTTTAGTAAATAGCTTAGAATATTGTGGTGAGAGTGCTGGGAGGAGCATTTCCAAAGTAATAAAGGAATGTCTTTTCTCCAATTATGGTCCCTCAAAATGGGATGTTAAATGAACTTCAGACTTTGCCAAGAAATTTTCCTGTACATACATACAAAATGTGGATATTTCAGAATGAAAAAGCTTTTTTCAGCAAATCAAAACAGGTTGAAGTCATGTACGCCCTGTCATTATTGACAATGTTTCAGCTCAGCTTCTGCCAGTTCATTTTATAAAAAATTTCCCAGACTTAATTTTAAGGTGTTTTTTTACCTGAAGGTGTCCTTAAAACTATTTTGTGAGTTCCCATCCAAGCATTCCTGCTTCTGCCCTTTGAAATATCACTTCTAGCTGAGTGCATAAGCTGACTTCCTTTGTTGTGACTGACCACTGCTCCATAAGTGATAAAGACTATGTAAGGAGCATTGTGGTGTAACGTCTCGGGTGCACCGCGCATTCAGCCTGCCCATCTTTGCTGTAGTCGAAGATATTTAAATATACTGTAGACATCAGATCGTGCTTTTTGTTTCATTGTGTACTGTGGTATGGCATGAGCATGCTGAAGAGGGTGTCAGAAAATGCAGTCCTATTCTCACTGCAGTCAGAAGTTCTTCTGTGGATGTCCAGGGTGCGGAACAACATGCATCCTCATGCACAGGACTCTGTTTTTATGTTTCTGAACGCAGACCGCTCACTGTTAGTAGCAGTTTGTCACTTTGCTGCTTTGGGTTTTGAGCTCCTGGAAATCAGGAAATGGCAGGGAAATCCTCACCAAAACATGGTGTGAAAAGTTCTAATACCTATAAGGTACACGTAGCATTGGGACCTCCCAGTGCTGTCAGTTCAGTGAATATATGTTGCATTTTGGAATTGGTATAGGTGACACAACTGGAAAACTGTGGTAACAGAGAAAGGTAAACTCTTGAGATGGCACATGGTATCCCAGAAGTAAGTGCAAGCTAAATGACCAACTGGTGTCACTTCAACCATACTTTCTCTGCATTTTGACAAGGATTTATCTTGACTGATCTAATCTGCCTGAAATACCTGTCCTGTTTTGCTTCTTGGGACACTTGAATAGTGTCTAAATGCTGGGTTTGCTTGTTTTGTTGTTATTTTTTTTTTTAAAAAAAAAGCAGAGACCATCCTTACTTCCATGACAACCCTCCCTCTCTTGGTAATACCTGCTGCATGTGATGGTTCTACACTCACTGGAAGTTTCTGTGTGGGGCTGGTTGTGGGAGCTCAGCAGCTCTGATATTTTGTGCAAGGGTACTGAAGGGAGAAAGCAGAGGAAGGATAAACAGAAGCAACTAACTCTGAAGACCATAGTTCCAAGTGCCTCTTGGAGTCTGTGCTGTTAGGGAGAAAATGTAATGTTTCTTATTGCTGGATCTTTACAGTGCTACTGTGTTGATGTTCAGCTTCTCACACACTCATACAAGTGCCTTAAGTTTCTGCATTCTAATAGTTGCCTCATTCTAACAGATGTTTAAATATTGCAAATGTCCATCGTTCAGTCCTGTGATTGCTTGTATACAGGTGTATGCCTGCCTTTTTATGTAGTCCTCTAGGAACAGTAGGAAGGCCATTCTCTCTGAGAGGGATTCCTTAATTTGGAGGAAGTACACTTAACTTACTCTTTGTTGACATAATATGTGAAATTCAAGCTATGCTGAAGAACAGCTGCATTTTCCTGTTCTATAACTGGAAATGGCCAGGACTCCTGACTTCTCACCGTGAGCACCACAAGTGTGGTAGGACCCTTGTCTCACTGAAGTCTGGGTGCAAGTGAGGGGTACCGATAAGGTGGCGGGGTTCTTGTGCTGTGAGATTACTAGGACACCTCACAGATTCCTAGGGATTGCTAATGCTTACATTGTTCTTAACAAGCTGTTAACATCTCTCTAGATGATGGTGCCAATGATTGCTTTCCCTTACTCTAATAAACACTCTGTAATCATTCACATTCATTTTCAACAGGCACTTCTGTCCAGTTCAACTCAGTGGAAAGCCTGACACATTTTCTTCAATTCCATGAGAAAGTAATGGTATGTAAAAAGGAGTTTCTACCATGCCATCTAATGGAAAAGCACTGGAATTTCTACAAAGGATGTGAAGATTTTGGATTCTAAAAACTTCTTGAGTGATAACATTTTTTTCCTTTATCATCACTTAAAAGTAGATATTTAAGGTTTTAGAACTAAGTGCTTTGTTACTGTCATTTTGATAAATCATTTGCTGGGCACTTGGAATGGACTGAAGGATTGTTTGGGTAAATGAGGAACAGGGGAGTACTTTGTAGCAGGTGAGGATAACTGTCTATATTGAATTTTGCACTGTGAGATTGAGAAACGGGCAAGTAGATGAGGACTGTTACACACTGGTGGTTATTGTTAATTATATTCCAGGTTGATAACTTTGTATGAAATTCCACTGATTTCAGTGGCTGCCCATGCTTGATGGGGCTGCACAGAACCAGATAGGTGTGGGCACCAGTAGTCACTTCCAACACCTAAGCCTGGAACTGCTCTGCCTGAGCAAGTGATATCAGAAATGGCAGCACATGTTTGTGTAATAACATAAGCTGTTAGGTTAGGCAAAAAAATCAAGATGGGCAGCATTGAAAATCACCAGCAGATTTGCTTTATGTGGTGTGAATATATACGAACATTTGAAAAGGGGACGGGTGCTGGGAGAGGTTAAAAGAGGAATCTGAGACACTGGAAGTGATCAGGGAGATTCCATTCATGTTCCTGCCAAGCCTGATAGACAGAAAATGTGGTGGCATATGGCAGTAAATGCAGTTAGCCCGTTTGTGGAACACAAATTTTTCCATCTAACAACATCTTAGATATTCACCCCGATCTCTGGAGGATTTCTATTTGTTTTAATTTTACAAAGTGTGAATCTGCCTCAGTAGCATATTTATAACACATTTGACTGTTATGAGAGTTATCTGCATTCAAATGGCATTCTTGCTCTTTCGTTCTCTGGATTGTAAGAAGAGATGAAATAATAGCACCTGCTACTCCTAACTCCAGTGAATGGGATGAGAAATATCTCCTGTCAGTACATAACAACCCCAGCTAGCTATTTGGAGTGCGAAGAGCTGTTCTGCAGAGATTTGATTAGTGTCTTAAACAGAAGGTAGTTTAGGGAAGAGAGAGGGGTCTGATGTGCAGAGAGCTAATGCTGTGCCCTAGGATGTATGAGCTATCGTAGCCTGATGGGCTGTAAGGATAAAGAAATGCAAACTGCCTGGAAGTCACAGGAGTTAAAGGCTACTGAGTGACAGGTATTTTGTAAAGGTCACTTTCCACACAGGGAGAAAATTGAGCGGTCTCACAGCTGCAGCAGCAAAACAAGCCTGAAGGCATATTGGTTTAAAGGAAATGTTCATTCAAATATTGCAGTTCCACTTTCACTGAAAAGTGAAAGACTTGAATGTGAAAATGACTACTGAATTACTTACATTTGACATTTTTTCTTTGTTACAAGATGTCTAATAAAGTCAATGTGTAAAAACTGGGAGGATTTGACAGTAATACTTTTAGGCCATTACATTAACGTGATTATATGACTAAGACAATTCTAAGACCAAGCAACAAAAAATCTGATTGGTTCAAGCTGGGCAAAGAGGTGAAAATGCAAAGTGTTATATGAAAACCACTGTCTCCTACTGACACTCTATGTAAAAGTAAGCCACCAGTTGGTTTTTTTTTTTTCAATATTTATATTGTGTATAGAAATCTTGAGGAAAGTGTTGGCTTGACAACGTATGTTTAATATGACTAACAAAGGTAGGATTCTGCTTCCCAAATCTTACAACTTTGATTTTTCCCTGTTCTTCCTACTGGAATCTTTTTTGTTAATGTAAAATTACATTAAGAGATGTTAAAAAGTTATACCATTGTGAATAGGGTGTTTTGTTTTCTCTGTTTATATTTACGCTTTCTAAGTATACTTTTGCATAAAAATATAAGCTGTCATCACAGGTCAAAGATAAGCAGCTATTAGTGATCCTAACTACAGCAGAGTATTAAAGCTTCTTCTCACAAGTGGCAAACAGCAACGGTTAGTCCTCCCAGCCCCTCCTGCTCCATTCATGTTTCAGTTATTTTATTTAGTAACCCCCTTCTCCACTCCTAGGCTGTGAGTTACCACATATTTTGTGTGGTGCAGGCTAGAGTAAAAAGAATATAAAATGCAAAGACTACAAAACCCGTGGCATTCTGCCTGTTGTTAATATTCAGATGGGGAATAAGAGGAGAAAGAGATGATTCAGTGAACAAAAGCCATGAGTTCAGATTCATATTTCTACATATTTAGTTATTTATTCATATACTGCTGAGATAGAGTTAAAAAAATCAGTGGGAAGATTGATACCAGTGAGGAAAAATGTGAGGCACAAAACAAAAGAATGAGAGTGAGAAGGAAGATAAGCAGCTGGGGGCAGACAGTGCAACACAAGATTCATGGATTTTAAGGCCAGCAGGGACCAGTGTGATAAGCTGACCTCCTGAATAACACAGGCTAGGGGTTATGAAAGGGTATAAGCAAGGAAGACATGGGGAAAACAGAAAAGGAAGACAAAGATGCAGATAGAGATAAATTCACTCTAGGTAGAGGATCAACACAAAACATTGCACCTTCTTGCCAGGCAAAGCTGAACGCAGGCAGCAAGAGCGGTTACGGTAAGCGAAATGTGGGAATGAATGCCAGCTTTGGGGAGGTATTTAAAGTATGCAAATACACCTTGGGTTTTTGATGGTGGAAATGCAATGAAGGAGCAGGGAAAGCAGAAGCGATGCCAGAATAATGTTTCCAGTTGTAGGAGTTTGGATAAATTCTTGGAGCAGTTGCAGTTGGCAAGTGTTTTGTCATTATGACACAGAGGCAAATACTTTTTTTCTGTTTTTTAAACCTTGATGTTAACTGGAAAAAGCCACCCTGTTTGAACTATCGCGAGAATGAACAACTGTGTGTGCATGAGATTCAGGACATTTTTCTGGTCACCAGTAGTCAAGTAATTAGTCGGGTAGGAAATCGTGTGGATGATTTGGAATTTGAATTATTAAGTTTCAGGCTGTATCAAGAAAAGAAGCTTAAAACATGACACAAAAAGGGAGGAAAATGTTTCAAAGATGGAACAGGATTCATGGAACTGTTTTTTCATATATGTTTGTGGGGGTGGTTGTTCATTGTTGCTTGTTGGGGGGGTAGTGTTGTTGCTGAGGCTTTGGCTTCACCTCCGAGAGAAAGTTTTACCACTTGCACCAATGTTGTTATTGCAGAGTAACCGAGTTGTCCAGCAGCCGCGTCCTTTTGATTTCCCTCAGGTTTCTGCGGAAGGAGCCGGGGCTCACGGTTGCAGATCGCCGCGTTCCAGCGGCTCGAGCAATTAGCAACCCACGGCCGGGCGCTCCCGGCTCCGGCGGCCTCTTCCCAATTTCCCACTCAACCCAGGCGCGCAGGCGAGCCGGGCGGCTCAGCCTGACCTTAACACACCGGCCTTTGCCTGGAAGCCGCCGGGGAACTGCAACATTCCAGCGCAAGGGCAGGCTGCTCCGCTATTAGCAGAGGTTCAAAGCCCCGACCGCAGCTTATTAGTTCGGACCAGCACCCACCGCCGCACCCCGCCCGCCCCGGGGCCGCTGCGGACCGGCCCTTCGCACGTCTCTGCTTTCCCGGGGCAGCCGAGCAGAGGCGGCCGCCGTCCCGAGGGGGAGGGCGAGGAGCCCGGGCCGCCCCCGGAGGCGGATGCGCCTCGGCCGCGCCCGGGCCGGCGGCAGCGGGGGCCCTGCCCGCTCCCTCCGCTCCCTCCGCTCCCCCCCCCCCCCCCCCCCAATCCCCCGACCGGGGTCCCTCCCGGCCGCAGGCTTTGCGGAGCCGCAGCATTGACCCCCGCCGCCCCCTCGGCCGCCCCACCTCCTCGGGGGCAGCAGCGGGGCAGGTCCGCGCCGCCGCGGCAGGAGGAGCAGCGTGGAGGCGGCGGGCTCCTCCCGAGCCCAGGTGCCGGCTCCCGGGAAGGGGCGGCCGCCCCGCTCCGCTCCGCTCCGCTGCCGGGGGCCGCGCCGCTGCTTCCTCCTTCACCACCACCTCCTCCTCCTCCTCCTCCTCCTGCCCGCCAGGTTGCGGGGCGGGCGGCGGCCCCTCCTTTTTCCTCCACGTCATGGGGTGCCGTGTCGCACACATGTCCCTGCACACACATCACAGATCTATACACACACACACACACCCCCAGCACACCCGCGCATCCCCGAGCAGAGGAGCGCGGCCGTCCCGCTCCGCCCCGGTGAGCGGCGGCTGCCGGCGGGCACGTCCCGGGACGGCGGCCGCGGGGGCTCGGCCCACGGACCGGGGCCCTAACTTTTTGCGCGGAGGGTCGCGCTGGGACGACAGCGGCTCCCCGCCTCCGCCCGGCCCCTCCGCCGTAGGCACAAACTTGGAGGCTCTGCCGCGGCGGCGGAGTTTGGGGAAGAGGAAGAGGTGGAGGAGGAGGAAGGGGCGGCAGCCGCGCGGCTCCGCGGGGGCTCAGCGGGGCGGTGCTGCGCGGGGGCGGGAGGGCCGGGCCGGGCCGGGCGCGGCGCTGGCGGCGGCCGGAGGAGGAGGAGGAGGAGGGTCGTCGCCGCCGCCGCTACCGGCGGGTGCTGCCGGGGAGCTCCGGTAAGAAGGCGCCGTGTGTCTTTCAAAGTTAATTACGGGGGGATTTTATGTGTCGGGAACCGGCAGCGGCTGGCAGGCTGCAGGCGCCGGAGGCAGCGCACACACCTGCCTGCAGCCCGGCTGGCGGGGGGGGTGCCCCCCTGTCGCAGCCGCAGAACTGCTCTGGAGCAGCAACAGTTACACCAACTTAACGTCTGGTTTGGTAACAGGAACCGGGTTTGCTGTGAGGTTGGCTGAAGTCTCTCCTGCTTTTTTTTTTTTTTTTTTCCCCCTCTCAGTAAATTGCTAAAAATGTACGTGTTAGTCTGTAGCTGTGTTTAATTTTCCAAGTGCACTTAACTCATTTCTTTAGTATGGAAAGAGGCTCTTTTTCCTTCTGAAGCAACAAAAAGTAACAGAACAGCAAGCATTTGTCAGAAAAAAAAAAAAAAAAACCCAAAAAAACAAAGTTTGTTTTTCTGGGTTTCTTTTTTTTTTTTTTTCTTTTTTCCTCGAGGAGAGACAGTAACAGCTTCTCTCTCATTAAGGGGTGAATAGACCTACTAATATTAGAGTAAGGCTTGTGGAAGTAGACTGTAAGGGAAACTTCCCTTGAGGTTAACTCATCCACTGTGTCCCACCTGAGGATTTGCTCCATTGAACACCCGCTGACTTGCTTCAGAGATCTAGTCCATAAACCAGCCTGTTTTATTTTGGGTTAGGCAAATTGCCTTAAGAGTAACATTTTAAAACAAATAAACTTCCTTAATAATAAGCTTTTTGTGTTTGATAGCCTGAGAGAGAAACAGCTGAGGGGTAGATGTGGTAGATAAGCTTGCGACTGGAATGGAGGCAGTGAACAGGAAAGAGCTGCTTGCTCTGTTTCAGACCAAGAACACTCAACAGTTGAGTGATGCTGGAAGGTAAAAGATTGAAATCAAGCTAGAGAAAGTGTTTTTTACACAACACTTAGGTCAGCTGTAGCGTGTTTTTTGTCCAGCTCCCACTCTACTGGATATCAGAAAACTTATATGGGTTCAAGACCAACAGCATGGAAGAAATCGAAATTTCCTAAGTAGAAAGTTGTAACCCCTGTCTTTGGAAGTTGCTGAGCTGTAAGGAAACGGAAACTCAAAGAACATGTGAAGATGTCAGAGAGTACTTGTACCTTCTGCTCTTTCTCCTCTTTCCAGGCATCCACTTATGGGTACTCTGAGACAACATCCTGGGCTGGATGGTCCCTATGGATGTGAAGTGCCTGTTCTTCCATGCATATAGGTGTTCTGAGATGGTCATAGAAAGGTGTGCTGGGTTTCTGTGGTGTGTTTTTTTGGTAGTGGGGGAGGGGGCTACAGCAGTGGCCCCTGTGAGAAGCTGCTCAAATGCTCCCCCAGCTCCAAGTTGGACCCACAACTGGACGAGGGCTGAGCCAATTAGTGACGATGGCTGCACCTCTGCAATAACGTCTTTAAGAAGGGGAAGCTGAGAGAGGGATGGGGACGTGTGAGGAGGAATTGAGAGAAGGACGGACACCCAGGTCAGCAGAAGGAAGGGGGAGGACGTGGGGGAGGTGTGCCGGAGCAGAGACCCCTGTATCCCGCGGCGAGAGGACAGGGCTGCCCGCCCAGCACCCATGGAGGTCCGCAGCGGAGCAGGGGCCGGCCAGTGGCCTGAGGAGAAAGCCACCCCAGGACAGGCGGCTGCGTTTAAAGGAGGCCGGGGCCCTGAAGCGAGAAGTGGTCCCCGCGGTTGTGGCTGGGCGCTGGGAGGACGGCAGCACGCGGGGGGGACCCACGCCGGAGCAGCACGGGAACGGCTGCGGCCCGTGGGGAGGCCTCACGCCGGAGAAGGTTCGTGGGGAACTGTCTGCAGTGAGAGGGGAGCCCCGTGGAGCAGGGGAGGGGTGTGCGGCGTTCACCCCAGCTCCCGAGGGGGAAGGAGCGGCGAGCTGGCTGTGACCCCCATCCCCTGCCCCCTGCGCTGCTGGGGGGGAGGCAGAGAGATGGGGAGCAGCGCTGAGCTGGGGAGAAGGGAGGGGTGGGGGAAGGTGGTTTTGGATGTGGTAGCACTTCTCACTGTCCCCACCTTGTCTGTTAAGTGTTGTCTTTATTAACATTTGAATTAAAGTGCTTTTCTTTTCTCCCCCTAGGGAGTCTGTCTTCTGCCCATGACCATAATGGGTGAGCTGCCTCTCCCTGTCCTTAGATGGAATCTTTGAGCCATTTCTGTTTCATATTCTCCTTCCCATTCCTGATAGGGGGGAGGAGGGAGTGAGCAGCTACCTGGTACTCAGTTACCCTCTGGGCTCAAACAATGACCAAAGGGAATTGAAGTGCTACCATGTTTCTGCATCTGTGGTTTTTGGTCTTCTATATCTGATACTGATGGGATTTGGTTCTGTTCTTATGTATTTTTCTGTATGCTACCCAGCTTTAAAGGCATTTAAAGATCCCTAACAACCCTAGCTAATGCTTTTTGACACATACAGTTCACAGAAATGAGCAACTCTTAGGACTACAACTCTTTGAAAAACAGTAATGGTGATGAGGAATACATTCAGGTTTGAATTGCTTGTGTTGGCACAACCCTTGTGCTGGGATTACACTGGGGGTGCAGGAAAAGGGACCAGACACTGAAAACCACTTGTGTACCAGGTTCTGTAGATTTTGTGGATGATAGCCTATACTGTGCCTGCTATTTTCTAACCTCATATGTGCAAATTATTCTAGTCAGCCAACAGCCTGTCTGCGATCATGTTAAAAATGCCTTGATGGCTGAGACTAGATCTCTGAAATTCTTTAGAAGTAGTCCAGGTGAGCTGGGAAGAATTAACCAAAAGTAAAATTTAAAAAGCATGAAGAGGCAAAGCCAAGTGCTATGATTAGGTATAAAGAAACCGGTGGGTGCTGTTGTATAGGATTCAGGGAAGCCCAGAAAATGTTGAAACATTGGTTGGGAGCAAACAGGTAAATCCAGAGATTGTTGATTACGTGGATTTTGTCAGTCTGGCAGCTTTTTAGCCTGGCCAGATACGGCTGAGACCCTCAGCGGGTCTCCATAATGTGCAGTATGATTTCTAGAAGCTTTATGTCCACCCACAGGACAGAAGCAGAGCATTTTCAGACTTCAGCAGAAAGATTTCAGGTGAGGGTGATTCAGGGATTTTGGAAATGCGTTAGCTGTTGGTCAGAGCTACAAGTGGAGCACTAGAGAGGTGCTGATGTACCTGCTTGGCCATTAGTCTTTCTGGTTATTGTGCACCTTTGTGACAAAGTGACTTCATGTAGGAAGTGGGTAAGGAGCATGAACTGTCCTGATATGTGCTGATGAAGCAAGTTTGGTCTCACTAACATGATGCTTAAGAGGACTGTAGCAGGAGCTTATGGTGTTTGTGTAGCTCTTTCGGCTACAGAAAGGCATCAGGAGTCATACAGCTTTTGAGGTCTACCAGGAAATGTTGATAAAGGAACTGAGATACAGCAGATTAGTCACAAGAAGCTCATTTCTGCAACATAAGCTGCAGGGTGCCAGATCCAGCCTAGAAGATAAGTTTTGCATAACTCTGTCAACAAGTCAAGCTTCATCAAACCTCTTACTGAAAAATGCAGAAGGCTTCACCTGGATTTGCAACGTGACCAAGTGCAACGTGCAGGTCCCTCTGCTTTGAGTACAAGAAGGACAACTGTGAAGAAAGAGGAGTCCTCTAATTGCATTGTGCCCAGAGATATGCATCATTAAGCAGATGACAGAGTACATACCAGCCTGCTGGAGACCCACACATCCTCGTGCCCTGTCATGTTGTCTAACTGCAATGTGCCTTGCGTGGTGCATCAGGAAGCTAACCTCTGGCCTGGGCAGGGTTCCCTGGTGCTAATCAAAGACCTTTTCCTTTTGGATTGACATTGCAGAGCGCAGTTGGCTTGTATGTGTTTTTGTGATCCATCATTCTTTGATGGGGGAGTCTTTCTGCATGCTTGGTTTTTGGGCAAGGACAAGCCAGCACCTTAAATCTTATGCAAAAGATGCACAGCTGTCTGCACATGTTTTTTTGCATGTGCTGGTAGGTTTTGTCTCACAGGAAACTGACATGATTTCTATATTTGTATGCTCTTAATGTTTTAATCAATTAATAATGTTTGATACCATTGCCCACTGTACCCTCCCCATCACACTGAAAAGGGATAAAGTTGACCCAGCTACTGTCATGCCACGTTGTGTCTTATGCATAAAGGGAGTGACAAATATTAAGCGAGGAATTCAGGAACTGTTCTTGCTATATGAATTTGCTGTGCTGGGCCCATTAAGCTAAGGCAGGACTGCAGAAAGCCATGGATCTGCGACACCCAGACCTGGCTTCAGAGCTTATGAGATTCAACCTGCTCCTGCCACACTGGAGAACAGAGTGCAAATAATAAGCTCCATAGTACAGAGATGTGCGGTTTATAAATCGGTATGAGCTGGAAGGCTGATGATGAAGATGAGGCTGGTGTGCACAATACTTTGGTCAAAATGTGGGTGGAGAGGAGGAGAATGCTATATATGCCTTAGGAGTAAGCACACACTGCTGTTGTGCTTTCCTTGAGGGAAAATACCATGGTATTTGTTTGTGGTACATGCAAGTAATACAACGTTTAGTTCCTCTCATTTCTTGTAACCATTACACACACAAAGCCTAGTTATAATAGCACAAAAAATACATTTCTTGCCATATAAGAGACATTGTATACCATATGAGGTACTTATGTATAAGTGAACTTGCAATGCAGATCATTGTGTCTAAACAGTTTCAGAAAGCATCACCAGGACAGTGAGGGTCATACCAGGACAGATTTTTGGCCTTGGCTCAGTGGTGGAGCTGTTTTATCTGTGGAGGGAGCAAGGTCTCTGAGACCTGAAGTACTGTGTGGTCTTGAACTTGGTGAGGCTTTTGACAAAGACTCGTCACACCTCGGCACTTTCCTGCCTCACCCCAATCCCTCTTCACCCTGCCGTAGGAGGAAATTAGGTTGCTTTGACGTGATCTGTTTTTTTGGTGTTTTTTCCCCCCCATCTTGGCACTTAGAAATGCTATGTGAGTAAACAAAAATTAAATGCTTATTATGCAGATAATGGCTTCCACATCTTATCACACAAAGTCTCCGTACTCACTGTTTTTCAGCTAACCTTTTACACTCTTCTTTTGTAATCTGTGCAAGCAATAATGTTGTCCCGGCTGCTTTTGTACATCCGACTTCATACGCGCTTGAAACACTGATAGAGGTGGAGGCTGTGGGCACTGTCAGGATGGAGCAGACACCAGGACTTTGTTCAACCTCTGAGCCGGCCGTGCTTGGGTCGATCTTCTGTCACAGAGCGTCCTAAAGAGCTCCACGAGGGGAAGAGACCACGGCAAAGTCTGGGAGGTAGGTCTGCAGCTCTTGTTGAAACGATCTGACTGATGTGAAGGCTGTGACTTTGGCAGTGAGGACTCTGACTTGGGAGGAATTGATTCAAAGGCGGTGATTTACATCAGGGGCTTGCAGGCACGAGTCTGCAAGCAGCTTGGTGGAGAGGTGAAGGAAATGGAGAATTATTTTGAGCTGTTAATGGGAGCTTTTCTGCAGCACGGTGCAGTTTCTCCTGCCTCCCTGTCTAACAGGAAACTTCCACCCTCTTTTACGGTGCTACTCCTTGCCAATGTACACAAGTTCTGGCTCTTTGGGCCTGATTTTTATGTTATGCAGTAGTTAGAGGGAAAAGGTTAACCCTCTCTCCACCGTAGTAGTGGTGTTATTTTAAACTCTCACATGAGTCAGAACAAAGCTGTTAAACTCTAGATTGCCCCAAACTAGAAGCGAGTAAACTCTATTTACCAGGGTGGGTTTTTTTTTCTTTTTTTTTTTTTTTTTTTTTTTCTTTTTTATTCTTGAGTCCTGCCTTAATACACCATAAAGTTCTTGGCAAATGTGGATACTCCCATCTTTTAAAGTCAGAGAATCTAAATACTCAACATATCAGAAATCAGGCTTGAGAATTTCCATGAGGAACTACCCCTGGCCTTTCTAAACACCTCCTTGCTTTATCGGGGCTGCAAGTCCTCTGACTGGCAGGACAGAATAGTTTGGGATGTACCAAGGAATTTACTGAGAGATTTTTCTTTTCAGGCCTCCATCAGAACAGCTTTCATCAAAAGTTATTGTAAAGCAGTTCAGATTAGTTGGGGATGCAGAGGAGCCAAGTTCACTTGCGTCTTGTGCTGCTGTCTTCTTGCATGTCCCTGCAGAAGTTGCTTGCCTCTCTTTCCTGGCCAGAGAGCAGAGATACAGACTTTCTTTACCTTGAGGTATCTCTGGCACATGGACATGCAGCAATTAATGTTAGATATTTTACTGCAATTATGGGGTTTGCTGGTGTACTGAAGGCAACTAGAAAACTGCATCCAGTCTTTTATGAAGAATATACAGAGAACTGGGACTGAGTGGCAGACAGACAAGCACAACTTACTGTCAGCACAGCAGGTTCTGTTAGGAAACACAGATCTAAGTGTCCTGCGCAATGAAGAGTCCTTGTGTTTGGCACCAGGACAAAGTCATATGTGATACCTGTAACTGCCAGATCGTTGCTGAATCTGTGTTTCCCATGTATGTGGTGAGAAGCTGTCTTTCCTCTTTCACAAAACAGCACAAAACAGGCTGTGGTAAGCTGCAGTTTTTTGTTGTTGCTTTTCCTTGGGGCACTGTGTTGCTTTAAGTCTTCAAGGTCTTAAAACTGGCTGGCTTATCATTTAATTAGGCTTGGGTCTAAAAGTAATGGCATCCTTTTCCACATCTTGCAATTAGAGGTCCATAAGGCAGCATGTAAGTAATTGTACTTACTTAGCTCTTAGTTGTCTATCATTTAGAGGAAATCTAAGTATTACATCAGGCAGACCAAAACAAGGAGGTGAGCTGTGTGGAACGAGACTGGCAGTGGGCACCACCATGTTATGGGAACATAGGCTGAGGCTCCAGTACAGGGAAAGTGGGTGGAAAATCAGACAAACTGCATAGAATCAACTGATCTAGATTTTATGCCAATAAAAAGTACTCCTACAGAAGCTCTGCAATCCCTATTGATAGACAATTTTGCAGTGGAAATATCCATCTAGCAGCAATAAACACTAGCACATGAATAAATTAACTTTCCCAGCTAGTAGCATTGAATAATCAAGTAGAGTTAGAAGTTTAATTCAGGCAGTTTACTTAAAAAAAAAAAAAAAAAAAAAAAAATCTTAGCAGAGCACATCATTACTTTTCTCCTTCCTTAGATTCCCAGGAACATAGTCCCCTCTACCTTCCTCAGAGACCCATCAAGTGACTTGATTTGTACAGAGTAGAGGGAAAACCAGAAGGAACGAACTGTGCCTTTCTGCATAGTTGGTCATGCAAACAACTTGACCAATTTTGCATTGCTGTGTGAGGAGGTGTGTATTAAGCAAACAGAGATATTTTATCAGGGAGAACTTTTCCCAAAATGTTTGCCTGGAGGAGAGGGACTTGTTCCTGTAGTTACTGCTATTATATGGTAATGGTGTTGGTTGCTGGAATACAGTGTGACCTGGTTTCCAAGGAAAGGTGTACACAGTAGTTTTGCCTCAGATGCCTTTGAGGGGGAGTAACAAGTCAGAGAAAGCACCTATTTTGGTTCTCTGTTTGATTTTGTTGTTTTTGTTATTAATGCTACTTACATGAAAGCACTTACCTTCATTGATCGTCTCTCCATTCTTTTTCATCATTTCCCAACCTCTGTTCTGCTGCTCTTATTCTTCTCAGCACCCATTCCCTTTTTATTTTTTTAACCCAAGTGATAAGCAAGCTCATGCTGTGCATTGGCAGAAGGGCTTCTGCATGGGAAAGAGAATAACACGTTGGGGTAGAAGCACTCCTGCTCCTCTGCATCCTTTCTCTCCATTTCCTCTCCTTCCACAGACTCACGTTCAGACTTGACCTTTTCACTTAACTCTTGCTCTGTGGCAAGCACAAAAGCAGGTTGCCCCATGACAGCATTTGTAGCAAGTACTGTGTACTTCAGACCAACTGAGGAGAGAGCAGTGCCCACTCATAGCCTGAATTTTGCAAGAATCCCTATTCTGGTGCCAGCCAACATGTCTTGCCACTCCATGCTCTGGGTTAACCACTCTCAGTCTGATGTGACAATAGATAGAGAGATGTTTCCCACCAGCTGGCTGTCTGACGTGACACGAAAAATGGTTTGTGGCATCTGTAGCCAACAGTAGAGAGTCACAAACCTCTTTGATGGGTAATGCTAAAGCAGAAAAGAAAGAGTGTAAATTTGGTAGGGCTACACATTAAGGGATATCATGGATTTTGTTTTCCTCTAGCTTGACGTAGTTGGTGGTTGAGCTTGAACTTTTGCTTACCTACTGAAGAGGTCCTCCAGGAAGGACTGGCAGAGGGCAGAGCAGGGGGGCCAGTGGGCACTGATACATACCTTGTGTTTCTCAGGAAAGTTGTAATGCGTTGTGATGACCCAGGCAGTCCATGACAGCTCTGCCCTGCGGGCAGCATCCAGGGAGCTTGTGGGCTCCGTAGATCCACTGGTCACCTTCTACCTTTAATCACTGAAGTGCTTGTGTTTAGTGGAGCACAAGCTGTATCAGAAAAGACACAATGAGGAAGGGAATGGAGTGCTGGGGAGTTGCAAAATTCCTTGTAGTCTCAAACAAAGTGGTCGATAAGCTGTTAATAAATCAGTGCAATCTGAATACAGACAAACTGGGAACACTGCTGCAGTGCATAGGAAAGGTTGGAAGAAGACCACGAGTTTTGATGAGGCCAATGACACATTTGCCCTTTGTGGGCCAGTTAAAGCAAACTCTTAATCGGGTACTTTGGTTACAGATGGTGTCTACCAAAAGTAGCTTGTCTGAACCTTCACTGTTTTTCATGTTTGAGTTTGCCCCACAGGAGTTTTTGCTAGATGGGAAGAAGGAGAAAAGAGATATTAAAATGTAAATACCCACAAGTCTTTGACTTTTGAGTTACAGAAAAATTACCTTGAATAATGCAGCTGTTACTTTAAAGGAACAGCTTTTAGGAAACTACTTTATTCCCAAGAAGGCTGTTTCCAATAGCCATGGAGTCATTTGCAAAATAGCAACAGCGGCTTCTGGAGGGGCTGAGGCTGCTTCTTCAGTGGCAGAGGGGTCTGCTGTCTTTTTTGCTGCAAGGCAGTCCATTTTCATATTTTCTAATTTGTACTGCTGATACAGGGATGCAAGAGGCAGTTGACTTGTGGTCTGCAGGTGAGACTGGCCGTGCAGAGCAAGAGGAATGTGAGAGTTGCTGATTTGTTCTTGCTCAGGGTGAAGGGAGTTGCAGACTCCTCCTTTGCAAAAATGACATCGGCATCACTGAGTTGCACAGACTGGGAGTTGCTTTTACTGAGGATACACGGGATTTATGGAAGCAGCAGAAATAATACTGAGGAGCAGCAGTAAAGCCCTGGGCATTCGGCGTTCTCAATAACCAGGGCTCTCCATATGTAAATCATTAGGGTCTTAGTAAAGTGGAAACACACCTTCAGAGAGGCAGCGTGAGACCAAAGCCTGCCAGTTTCCCTGCACTGCTGAAGGGAACCTGTCTGTTTCTTTGGGTTGCTGGAATCCCTACTTAACCCTTCATAGAGGGCAGCTTCCAGGCTGGCTTTTCTCCCTTGCTCTTGAGTGCCACTTTGGGACAGAGTAGTTGCTGGGGTGTTATTGGCTGAGGATCAGCGTTGAGTGCAATGATGCTACCCCTAGAACACTTCACACCAGAAGTGCACCAAGGCTGCGCCATCGCAAGCGGAGCTGGCAGAGCTTGCAGTGCTGGTGCAAAAGGCAGGGTCTTGTCCTGGCTCTTGTTTGGTGGGGCAGTGACTTTCCCAGGGATGCCTCACCCAGCCCATCCCACAGCCCATCCTCTGGGATGAACTGATGGTCCTTTGCAGTTCCTTTATTTTTCCACCAGCTGCAGAGGGACCTCAGATACTTAGTTTGACAAACATTGCACAAGGTGCGTCTCGCATGCATGGTACAGAGACCAGGGTACAGAACAGGTTCTCTGCTGGTTTTCTTCAAAGCCAAATCCAGAAATGCTCTGAGTCTTTTAACCACATTGAGTTCTGCTCCCTGTCATAAAATATTCCTATATGTTGTGGGACGACCTCAAGCAGTCTGGTGGAAATGTCCCTGCTCATGGCAGGGGGTTGGACTAGGTGACCTTTAATGTACCTTCCAACCCAAACCAATCTATGTTTCTAGGAAATAATGCATGATGGTGTGGTTATATGGTTTCTCAGTAGGAGTGGTGTTTTAAACTTGCTTTTACTCTGAAGGAATAGATGTACACCTTGTGTAAAATGTTATTCCACATAAACTAAT